CCGAAAGATTTACACAATCCTATAGGATAGACTACCATAAAACATTTGTATCAGTGGTTAAGCTAAATTCAATAAGGGTATTGTTATCCTTGATAATTAATAAAAGGATGTGTTAGTTTAAAAAATCCTTCTATGACCTTAAACGGTCTTCAAGGGCCTAGTTTGAAAGATTGACCAAGGTGATTATTAAGAATGGTTACAGACAATGTCAAACAGACTATACATTGTTTTGTAAAAGCACCTTGAGGAAAAAAGTCATCCTAATTTTTAGGTAGATGACACTATTATCACTAGAGATGATATGGCTAAAATAGGAAAACATAAGAAAGAATTGGTTAGTAAATTTGAGACTAAGGATCTTGGAAGCCTTAGATATTTCTTTGAAATTGAGGTGGAAAGGTCTGAAGCTAGTATTACTATTAATCAAAGAAAGTATATCATTAATTTACTTTCAGAAACTGGAATGGTAGGATTCATACCAATTTAAATTTAAGAAAAGATAAGATGGGCAACTCTGTCAACAAAGAGCAATACCAAAGACTAATAGAAAAGTTTATATATTTATCTCTTACACGATCATATATAGATTTTCTAGATTGTAAGCCAACACCTCTGTGATCATAGGGATGAACATCTTGATGTAGTTCTGTAATACCCCAAACATCGGGTCAGTGATCTTAGTGAAAGGATTTAAAATTTGGTGGGTTAAGTTGAATAAATTGAAAAGTACAAGGATTAATTTAGGAAATTGTGTTTATGACTTATTATTAAGAATGGAAGAATGGAGGGACATTATGGACTTTTAAAAGGAAATGAATTTAATATTCATTTTTGTTAAATTTAGTAAGGGTTGAAAAGGGGAAATGGATAAAGCTGAAAACTTTGGTTCTCTATTCTTCTTCTTCTTCTCTTCCTCGTACCTCCATAACAAAGGTAAGATTTCTTCAAGGTGGTTTTTGCTTTCGTTTTTGGGTTGGTTTTGAAGCCATAAGTGATCTAGAAACTTAAGGAAAACTTAAGAGTGAATAAACTAAGAGATTAGTGATTTATTAGTAATTTAATAAAATGATTTTTAAGTGATTTGATGAAATATGGTCAATTATTGGAGTTTTAAAGCATTTTTGACTTGTCAAAGATGTAAATAAAAGATTTGGAGCCTTAAAAGTGATTAGAAACATGTTTGAAGTTTGGGTGTGAATTTTTAGTTTTAAGTGTTCTTTGAAGATTTTGGATGTTATAAGGAGATTTATGGATGTAAGTTAGCTTGGATAAGTGATAATATGGTTGATGGTATAGTTGGAGATAAGAGTAAGAGATTTAGGTGAAATTTGTGTAAAAATCGAAGTGAAATACGTAAAATATGGGTAAGGGTATCGGTACTGGAAGAACAGTGTCATACTATAAAGTTAAATTGGAGGATTCAGATGAACATAATCGATACCGATTTAAAGAAGTATCGATACCGATTTAAAGAAGTCTCGATACTAAGTGTAGGTATTGATACCAAGAGGAAGGTATCGATGTCGTAATTAGAAATGAAATTCCAGAATGCTAGAATGGTATCAATACCGAAGTGGGTATCGATACTATAGGATGTGTACGATCTATTCAGTCTGAAATTTTAAGTTAGGATGGATTTTAATAGAATTCGAAATTAATAGTACTTTTGAGTATTATTACTGTGGATAAATGTTAGTAAGTATACTAACATCATATTTATATGTGTGATTATGGATACTTGTGTATATTGTAATCAAACTCCTGAGTTAAGCAAATAGAAAGACAAGGATAAAGTAGCATAATAGTCGGACATCATTAAGGCATAATAGTGAGGCATACCATGTGAGTGCATTTATTATGTACTTATATGATATGAGGATGACTCGCGATGAGTCAACCTCAAATGTTTTGATAAAAGAATATTTTACCATATCTTAAAATATTTTCATAAAGTTTATGGAAATGATTTTTATGAATAATTTTTAGAGTATGAACTGCTCTAAAATATATGTATGTAATTCAATTTATTTTATCAGCTATCGATGTTCCAAATAAATGTTTAATCTGCGAATTTGACTTAAAGGCCTATTGTATGTGCATTGAGAGTCAGGTGCATTTTTTTGAATGCATATGTTGCATTTTTGTATCAGTACTATCAGTACTATGTGTACAACCCTGAAATTCATAATGAGTTTGTAAATTACCATTTCAGCACTATGTGTGCAACCATGGAATTCATAATGAGTTTGTGAATTACCATTTCAACACTATGTGTGCAACCATGGAATTCATAATGAGTTTGTGAATTATCATTTTGGCACTATGTGTGCAACCATGGAATTCAAAATGAGTTTGTGAATTACCATTTCGACACTTAGGTGCAATTCATGTACCTTGCATTCTCATTCAACATATGTTGGGCAAATAAAAGGATAATTTGGAAAAATAATGATTTATAGGTATGTTGGGTATACTAAATATTGTTTCGCAGGTTATGTGAAAGAAACTTAGTTTACCAAGCCAATTTTAAGTATTATTATGATTTATACGATTTAATTTGTATTTTGATATTTTATGATATACTTATGTTTTGGTTACACCTCATTTATATTATTATGCATCACTAACTGAATACTTAGCGTGTGTTGATTTTACGTGTAGATAGGGATGGCAACGGGCCGGGTTCGGGTCGGGTATTGGTCCCCCGTCCCCGTTTAAAAAACCCGTACCCGTCCCCGCTTAAAAAACCGCGGGGATTTAAATGGGGATCCCCATCAGATAATCGGTAAAAACCGCGGGGAAACGGGTATCCCCGTTTAGCACAAACGGTTATTTAAACGGGTATCGGGTCGGGTATCGGGCCGGGTATATATATTTAAATTAAATATATAAATATTATATATATATTTTAATTTAAATTAAATTTATTAATATTATATATATATATATATATATAATAATAATTATTTTTAATATTTATCGGGTCGGGTATCGGGCCGGGTATCGGGCCAGGTAATCGGGTAATTGGGGCGGGGATTACTAAACTCGTCCCCATCCCCGTTGAACATAAATGGTTTTCCCCGTCCTCGTCCCCGTTTAGTATAAACGATTTTCCCCTGTCCCCGTTTAATTCGGTTTTCGGTTATCCCCGTCGAGTTCGAGTTTTTTTTCCATCCCTACGTGTAGATATTAGTACGAGAGGAGTAAGGAGTGCAACTGACATCGCAAATCAAAGGTTACCTCGTCAGTAATTGTTTGTCAATTATGTCTACTTTTGATATTATTAGATGACATGTAATAGACTTATGATAATGCTCTGGAAAGTATTTGACTTGTGATGATTGTAATATTTAATATATTGAAACTTTAAGACTATTTTACATACTAAAAGTTAATGAACGTTTTATTATTATTACATTAAAATGTTTTATGTATAGAAACAAAATTTTACTGGTTTCCAAAAGCGGAAATGTTTTGAAAGTCATGTGACATCTATGAATTGTGTACGGAAACGTATACGGAAAATGGGTGTTACAAGTTCATAGAATTCTAAAGTATCTAAAAAAGACTCTTGGGCATGACTTAATTTTTAAGAAGAGTATAACTTAACTGTGAAGATCTTCACTAATTCCAATTGGGCAGTAGAATTTAATAGACAAGAAATCCATGAGTGGATATTGCTCCTTTATTTAGGGTAACTTGGCTACATGGAGGAACATGGAGCATTCAATTGTGACAAGGAGTATCGTTGTACATGACTTGAGATTTATGAAGGCATACGATTGAAAATATTTCTTACATAATTGGGGCTTAATCAATGTGAAAACATTAAACTCTAAAATGATAACTAGTCAGTCATCAATAATGTTAAGAACCCAACCCATCATGATAGAACTAAGCATATAGAGATTGATTGCCATTTTATCTCAAAGAAAGTTAATTGTGGAGGAGTAAAATTGTTTTTCTTCCCTACTAAATACCAACTAGATGATGTTTATACTAAGGTAGTATCAAGAGATAACTTAGATAAGATAACAACTAAGTTGGGAATCTAAAATGTATATTCACCAGTTTGAGGGTGAAGTGTAAATTGTAGATGTCTATTTGATTAGTAGAAGATTAAGTTTACTTCGTACATATTTCTTATTATTATAGTATTATTATATGTCTTAAACTAAGTTTATATAAAGATAACATTTAAAGTAGTCCTAACCGTAGTTAAACACTAATTATTTAGTATTTTATAAGTACTTATGTTGTCAACGAATTCTTTAAGTGAAAATAGAAGAAAGTTCAATTGTTTTCTCTCCATAGAAATTTCTATTATCTACACTAACTCCTTGAAATGATGATACATAAACATTCATGGACACATACATGTATGCACATATTACATAATGTTTGTATCCACAATTAAAAAAAACATAGCATGATGTTATAATTTAAATGAATGAGACAGAAGAAATAAGTGTATTATACCAAATATTTTGAGGCGTTAAAGGATCTCAATATAAACAAGATTGGTTTAGTGATTCTTTTAACATCCTCCTTTGGTTCAATAATCTAGTGTATGTAAAGATTAGCAACATATGTCTAAGCTATGAATGCAAGAACAAAGAAAACAAACGTAAGAGAAAAATCTTATGAAATTCATTATCTTCAAGTGTGTATCTTTACAAGTCTCAAGGAGTGTATTTATAGTTAGTACTATAGCTGTAACTAATGATGTAACTAACTTTAACAAACTAACTGCTTCAACTGATTAGCTGTAGTGTATCAATCCTCAGCTGCACGAACATCATGCACAACAGTTGCACGTGTACTTATATGACATGCATTTATTTACACTAACATTCCCCTTGTAACCTTCAACTTCAAACCTTCTTCAAACTCAAACTGCACAAACATGATCAACGCTCCTTCAAAACTCAAAATGAAATGAATGTTCATTTACATTAACATTCCCCTTGCAACCTTCAAATTTAAATCTTCTTCAAAACTCAAACTGATCTGCTTTTAAGTTGCATCACCAGCAACCGTTGTCTGTGTTTGAAAAACAAAGGTGCTGATAAAGGCTTGGTCAGCACATCAACAACCTGCTCGACTGCAGGAACTTCATGTACTTGTAGTTGTCCCATAGCCACCATTTCTTGAACAAAAAACATATCTAACTCAACATGTTTAAACTTGGAATGAAGTACAGGATTAGCACATACTGCGACTGCACTCGTATTATCATACCATAACGTGGCCTTGCCATGAGTAACTATGTGTAGCTTTCCCAATAGTGATCGAAGCCAAACCATTTCAGCAGCTGCATAAGCCACACTTCTGTACTCAGCCTTAGTAGTTGAACGTGCAACAACATGTTGCTTTCTAGAGTTCCACGAGACCAAATTCCCACAAAAATATATACAAAATCCTGAAGTTGACTGTCTATCATCAACATTTGAACCCCAATTCGCATCTACAAAGCCAGTCAAAGCCATTCTCAAGGAGGGTGTAAACCGTAGTCCAAAATCAACGGTGCCTTGTAGGTAATGAAATATTCGCTTGACTGCCTGAAAATGAACATCCAATGGGGCTTGCATGAATTGACACACTCTATTCACAGCAAATGCCACATTAGGCCAAGTAATTACAATGTACTGCAGAGCACCTACTATGCTTCTGTACTGTGCAACATCTTCAAGGGGTTTTCCCTCCTTAGCAGATAGCTTGACATTTGAGACCATGGGAGTGGGAAGGCTCTTTACTCCACCAAAACCATGATTCTATAAAATGTCATGAATGTACTTTTGTTGACTCAAAACAACATTGCAACCTTCATAACTGACTTCTACTCCTAGGAAAAAAACTCAATGGTCCAAGATCCTTCAACGAAAACTGAGCATTCAGTTTGTCTATAACACTTTGAACAACCACCTCTTTATCCCCTGTTATGATGATATCATCAACATACACCAGTAAGTACACCAAGCTATCCAAAGTCTTTCGAACATAAAGAGAGGCATCCAACTTAGCTAGGCAAAAACCTTCAAATTCCATGCATGCCTTCAGTCGTTCAAACCAGGCACTCGGTGCTTGTTTCAGCCCATAAATCGCCTTGTGTAACTTGCATACCAGCTCACCATTACCTTGCTCATACCTTGGTGGTTGAGTCATATAAACCTCTTCAGTAAGTAACCCGTTCAAAAAGGCATTATTCACATCAACTTGTCTCAGCTTCCGCCCTCGTGATAACGCCAAGGAAATGATTACCCTGATCATTGCAGGCTTAACCACTGTGCTGAAGACTTCATCAAAATCAATCCCTGGTTTTTGAAGAAAACCTTTTGCCACCAAACGTGCTTTGTACCTTGAAATTGAACCATCATCGTTTCTCTTTATATGAAATATTCATTTACAGTTTACTGCCTTCCTATCTCTAGGAAGAGGAACTAGTGTCCACATGCCATTTGATACAATCCAAACTAGCTCCAACTTTCTCCATGACTTGAACACACCATGGATGTTCTTCAAAGCTGTTTCTAAGGGAGTTCTTCATTACCCTATCTTATATTATATCATTTATACATTCTATTCTATCATAAGCATTCATTCACATGTTAGTATAAATTATCATATTATTATTTCCATCATATGTTTAGTTAATCATATCTTTCATATCATTCAAATATATGTTATGATTACATATCATTTCTTAGGATATTATTATTACATGTTTTCATTTATCATTTATGAATACCATGTTATATGATATTCATGCATACAACATATTCACATCTTTATAATTGATGCACAATGTATTTCAAGTATGTTAAGTATGTTATATTAGTCTTGTATTCATTTAAGCATGATTCAATTCATTCGTGAAATGGCAGAATGCTTAATCATTCATTTGTTAGCTCACATTCATTCATTTTAGCTCCTAGGTCTTATACATTAAGCTTACATATGTTATATCATTATGTACTTACCTCATGACATGCATTCATAGCTCATATCACTCAAACACCTCACGACAACATGCATTTTACCTTAAATGAGCTCACACATAGCTTATTTTATTTGTTTGGTGATTCCTATAGGTGAAACACAAAACAAGGCATATTATGGTAGCTTGGCTAGCTAAAAGGACAAGCACAACAGCTCACACTAGCTCATGAACATTATGGCAGCTCATTTCATCACATAAGGAGCTTAAACTTAGCTGGAGGAGCTAGCATGTAGCTGCACTTAGCTGGAGGAGAGTTTTGGACCAAATTACTGAAAAGTGGACTAGAGGTAGCTGGAAATAGATGGGAGAGTAGCTGAGGAGTTGAGAAGACCAAAGCTAACTAACTTGAGTTCATCAAGCTATAACTCACCTAGTTAGCTACCAAGACACTCACCTAGTTTACCTTGAAGCTAGTGCATCTCTAGGCTGCCCAATGGATGCCATGTCACCTAGATGCATGTTGGAAGCTAATTCACGCCTAGTTGTTGCCTATCTTCATTCCATGGACTTCAAGACATCATCCTATGGTTGCAACCTCATCAAAGCATAGCAAGAAGATCCATGTGCATTCATATAGGCTGCCATGTGCATCATTCAAGAATGTACACTCCATGTGACATCAAATTGGCGCCAAAACACCAAGGGATGCTTCCTATTCGGCCAAAGACTCTTTTCTCTTCATTTTGGCACCCAAATAGCTTCTAAATGCATTCAAATCATCCTTAGGGCCGAACCAACACATAACCATTCGGCCAAGAGCTTGTATTTTCATTAAAGTCTTGTTTTTTCATTAAAAATCATGTCATTTTAGGAAGGTACAAGGGCTGGCCGAACCAACATGTACCTATTCGGCCAAGTCCCTTCAAAAACTATAAATAGGCCATTATATTTCATTTGTAATCAGACCTTTATTTTTAATTGAAGTGAGATTATTCTCTTTATTAAGTCATGGTGACTTTTTATCGACTTATCAAGTATAATTTATACTTGTGGCGTCAACCCTCTTCTTTCATCTTGATACTTCTGGTTCCTAGTTCATATAACTAGTGGGTCAAAGTACTTAACACCACCCTTGAAGAAACAATATAAAGATTGGGTCTTTGCTCTCTATAGCATTGGTTCTTCTTTGAGCATTCTTCAAGATACTATCCTCACAACCATCGTTTTTTTTCATTGCCATAACCATAACCCTTTCAATCATCTTCCGCTTCCATCTCTCATTTATTAAATAGCCTACCTATTAAACCATACGTTTACCACCCTTATCCATTCTGTTTTGAGCCATTCACTTGTGCAGGTTGTTTTGCTTCCTTCCTAGATCCACAATCAAATGAGAAGGTAGAATTACTTTACATCAAGCGGTAATCAGAGCTTTGGTGGAAGAAGCAACATGCAACAAAAACAAAAATACAAAAAGAAGAAGTGCAAAGTGAAGTGCAAAGTCAAAGAAAGCAAAAAAAAAATCAGAAAAGAAGCACTCAAAAAGAAGAAATTGAAAACACTCAAAAGAAGAAAAAAGAAAGAAAAGTTGAAGCACTCATCAACAATTCTCATCACCAAGCAAGTCAAGAAAGCCGTTTAAATTGATTGTGGTGATAGAAGGTTGTAAAGTGACTTGTGTAAGTAACCCCTTTTGTTTTTTTTCTTTCTATTTTCTAAGCCACCCTTTCATTATATTTTGCTTTCCATTCATACTAACCCTTTTGCAGCCGACGCTAAACAAGTAAAATTTACTTGATACAGTTTGAGTAAAGTTCTCTAGAACTTGGGACAAGAAAATCGAGAGGAAAAAGGCTAGAGCGTGTGTGAGATCAGAAGAGGACAAATAAAAGCCATTATAGTCCTAGAGTGCAAACACGAGCGGATTGAGTGACATTCAAGTTTTCCTTGGAGTGACTCGTGAGGCTTTGTGAGAGTACATTCTGGTAAGGTCCTACACACATTTCGTTTTTCCTTATTTGCTAACATGTCTCTTCCATCCAACATATTTGTAGTCAAAAGGACTTTGAACATTCAAAGTCAAGAGAATGAACAAAGAGAGAACATCTTCCATACCAAATGTCACGTGGGAGATAAAATTTGCGTGGCGATCATTGATGGAGGAAGTTGTACAAACGTAGCAAGTACTCACATGGTGGAAAGGTTGGGTCTCCAGACTTCCAAGCATCCTCATCCTTACAAACTTCAATGGCTCAATGATGTAGGTGAAGCCAAGGTAACCAAACAAGTTTTGTACCTTTCTCAATTGGAAGATACAATAATGAAGTCCTTTGTGATGTGGTGCCCATGAGTGCAAGCCACCTTATACTAGGACGTCCTTGGAAATTTGACAAGAAAGATAATCATGATGGATTTTCCAACAAGTATTCTTTCCAACATCAAGGAAAGAAAATCATATTGGCGCCTCTGCTTCCAAGTCAAGTTCATGAATGCCAAGTGACCCTTAAGTCACGCATAGAAGAATGGGAGAAAAAGAAGGCCATGAAAAGAACCCTTGAAGAAGAACGTTTTGAGGAGACAAGAACAATTGTAAATAAAAATGTTAGTGTTGAAAGAGAAGTCTTGCAAGAGCATCAAGTATAACAAGTGGAAAATCAGATTGATACGAGAAACATTGGAAAAGAAAGGGAGAATGGAGAGAATGATTAACCTAACAATTCTTTTCCTCCAATTATTACTTTTTTTTGCAGGACAATCCAAGAGACATATCACTTCAAATTGAAGACTCAAAGAACATGTCTTTTGAAGAATCAATAGATGTGACTTTTGGTGATCCACAAGACATGTCCTTTGACATTTCAAAGGATGTACCTCTTGAAATTCAAAAGAATATGCCAATTGAAGTGCCACAAGTTGTGATCATTGAGGCTCCAAGTACATTACAACTATTGAAGAGATTTCAGCAACCAATGGAATTTTTCATCATCAAGCAACCAACACCCATTAAACATCCTCCATGGTTTGCTATTTCCATTCATATTGTTAATAATTTTTCATTTACTAACTTTGATTTATTTTACAGCAACTTGTTTTATCCTTATGGTGAAGTAGTACCAACCTTAAAGGCAATCATTCGGAGAGGCACAAAGGTGAAAGGATATGATCATTTAAATCAGCACCAAGGAGTCATTCAAAGAACAATTATTTTCACCAAGATACGTGATGACTCCAACCAGGAGACAAACCTTTTTACCAACAAGCATGGTGAATTAAAAGGAGGAATTGAAGAGATAGAGGTCCTTTCCAAGCATTATGATATTCAAAGAATAAAATAAAAGGATCAAGTTGGTTCGTGAAGAGATATGTCTTTTCCATTCAAAGGACATGTGATGGTTCCTAAACATTGTGTCCTCCCATTAAAGGACGTGAAGTTACCAGATTTGAAGCTAAGAGATTGAACATATCGTGTGAATAATCTATTGAGGAAAACATAAGGATTCAATCCTTCCTACATCAAGAAGGTCTTCAATGAGAAACTACTTCGATTTGAGGATAAATCGCCAAAAAGAAGGGGAGGATGATACAATCCAAACTAGCTCCAACTTTCTCCATGACTTGAACACACCATGGATGTTCTTCAAAGTTGTTTCTAAGGGAGTTCTTCATTACCCTATCTTATATTATATCATTTATACATTCTATTCTATCATAAGCATTCATTCACATGTTAGTATAAATTATCATATTATTATTTCCATCCTATGTTTAGTTAATCATGTCTTTCATATCATTCAAATATATGTTATGATTACATATCATTTCTTAGGATATTATTATTACATGTTTCCATTTATCATTTATGAATACCATGTTATATGATATTCATGCATACAACATATTCACATCTTTATAATTGATGCATAATGTTATTTCAAGTATGTTAAGTATGTTATATTAGTCTTGCATTCATTTAAGCATGATTCAATTCATTCGTGAAATGGCAGAATGCTTAATCATTCATTTGTTGGCTCACGTGCATTCATTTTAGCTCCTAGGTCTTATACATTAAGCTTGCATATGTTATATCATTATGTACTTACCTCATGACATGCATTCATAGCTCATATCACTCAAACACCTCACGACAACATGCATTTTACCTTAAATGAGCTCACACATAGCTTATTTTATTTGTTTGGTGATTCCTATAGGTGAAACACAAAACAAGGCATATTATAGTAGCTTGGCTAGCTAAAAGGACAAGCACAACAACTCACACTAGCTCATGAACATTATGGCAGCTCATTTCATCACATAAGGAGCTTAAACTTAGCTGGAGGAGCTAGCATGTAGCTGAACTTAGCTGGAGGAGAGCTTTGGACCAAATTACTGAAAAGTGGACTAGAGGTAGCTGGAAATAGCTGGGAGAGTAGCTGAGGAGTTGAGAAGACCAAAGCTAACTAGCTTGAGTTCATCAAGCTATAACTCACCTAGTTAGCTATCAAGACACTCACCTAGTTTACCTTGAAGCTAGTTCATCTCTAGGTTGCCCAATGGATGCCATGTCACCTAGATGCATGTTGGAAGCTAATTCATGCCTAGTTGTTGCCTATCTTCATTCCATGGACTTCAAGACATCATCCTATGGTTGCAACCTCATCAAAGCATAGCAAGAAGACCCATGTGCATTCATGTAGGCTGCCATGTGCATCATTCAAGCATGGGCACTCCATGTGACATCAAATTGGCGCCAAAACACCAAGGGATGCTTCCTATTCGGCCAAAGACTCTTTCCTCTTCATTTTGGCGCCCAAATAACTTCCAAATGCATTCAAATCATCCTTAGGGCCGAACCAACACATAACCATTCCGCTAAGAGCATTTATTTTCATTCAAGTCTTGTTTTTTCATTAAAAATCATGTCATTTTAGGAAGGTACAAGGGCTGGCCGAACCAACATTTACCTATTCGGCCAAGTCCCTTCAAAAACTATAAATAGGCCATTATATTTCATTTGTAATCAGACCTTTATTTTTAATTGAAGTGAGATTATTCTCTTTCTTAAGTCCTGGTGACTTTTTATCGACTTATCAAGTATAATTTATACTTGTGGCATCAACCCTCTTCTTTCATCTTGATACTTATGGTTCCTAGTTCATATAACTAGTGGGTCAAAGTACTTAACACCACCCCTTGAAGAAACAATATAAAGATTGGGTCTTTGCTCTCTATAGCATTGGTTCTTCTTTGAGCATTCTTCAAGATATATCCTCACAACCATCATTTTTTTCATTGCCATAACCATAACCCTTTCAATCATCTTCCGCTTCCATCTCTCATTTATTAAATAGCCTACCTATTAAACCATACATTTACCACCCTTATCCATTCTGTTTTGAGCCATTCACTTGTGAAGGTTTTTTTGCTTCCTTCCTAGATCCACAATCAAATGAAAAGGTAGAATTACCTTACATCACCATTCCTTACCAGGGCATAATACTCAGCTTGTGCAGCTTCTTTCCAGTGTGGACTCATCAAGGCCTCTGTGATATTTACTGGTTCTCGATCTCAACTTGCAACGTTATAAACTTTCGGCTTCAAGATTCCATGCTTGCTCCTGGTCATCATGGGATGCATTGGAGACTGCTTATGGTACACCACTCTCCACATCATGTTGAACTTCGACGCACGTTTTTTATATACTATTCTCTCCTTGGACCCCACGCGAGCTATCATAATTGCTATTATTATTGCTACCAACGTGATTTTCTTCTTGGACCCCACACATGCTATTACCACAATTGCTATTATTATTGCCATCATCGTGACTTTTTTCTTGGATCCCATATGAGTTTCCATCATAATTGCTATTATTATTACTATTATTCATAGTTTTCGCATCATCATACTGTCCTTGGACCCCATGTGAGCTGCCATGTGAGCTTTTATTTCCACTACCATTATTTGTATTTGCCACACCATGACAATTTCTTTCTTGGACCCCATGTGAGTGTGCACCATGCCAATTTCCTTCTTGGATCTCACGTGAGTGTGCACCATGACAATTTTCTTCTTGGACCCCATACGAATGTGCACCATGACCATTACTCCCATTATTTATGTTTTCCACACTACTATGATTGCCTTGGACCCCATGTGAGCTCCCATTATTTAAGCTTGGCGCACCACCATAATTTCCACTACTATTCCCATTATTTATGTTTGTCGCAACTCTATCAACACTTGGACTATGTGTGTTTGTTGGAGTAGTAACGTGGGTGGGCACCATTCCAGGAGCACATGCGCACCATTACGATAGCTAGTTGAAATAGAATTCGGTGTGGCCCCATTACCACGTGCATCCACCATTTCAAAAGGCATGGTCCTAATAACTTCTTGGCTTGGATTACGTGCATCTACCACCACGCCAAGAGGAAAATGGGCATTGGAATTCGGTGTGGCCCCATGCTCATTATAAACTATAGGCAACTGTCCAGTAGTGATAATTTCTTGTCTATGGCACTTGCATGCGAGTTGACTCTTATCAATGGAAAAATTTGCTCATCAAACCTCACATGTTGAGATACAAAGACTCTACCATCACTGTCTAGACATTTGTACCCATGATGTAAGGTGCTGGGCCCAAGAAACACACACTGCCTTGACCAAAAATCCAATTTATGTTGATTAAACGGTCTCAAGAAAGGAAAGCAAGCACACCCAAACACTCCCATACCTGAGTAGTCAGGAGCTTTTTGATAGAGAACCTCAAAAGGGTCTTACCTAAAATAATCTCAGATAGTAGCCTGTTTATGATATACACTGCCATAGTAAAAACATTACTCCAGAACTTTGTTGGCAGTGATGCTTGAGCTAACATGGCTAGTCTCATCTCAACAATGTGGCGATGTTTACGTTCAACCTTCCCATTCTTCTCTGACGTGATGGGACAGGAGATTCGATGTTGTACACCATTGGTAAAAAACCAACTCTTCAGAGCTTGGTATTCACCACCACCATCGCTTTGTAATGCTTTGATTTTCTTCCCAAACTGAACCTCGGTTATTTTAACAAGGTTGAGAAAGTATTGGCTGACTTCATACTTCTTTCTAATTAGATACAGCCAGGTATATATACTAAACACGTCAATAAATGAGACATAATATATGTAACCTTCAATCGAAACTACAGGTGCATGTCCCCACACATATGACACAACCAGTTGAAAAATTTCTTTGTATTCAGTCAACGAATTACAAAAAGGCAGCTTGTGAACCTTGCCTTGCAAACACGCAGAACAAACATTGTTCAACTTGTTTTCACTAGAAGAAACATTACACATTTTCATAACAGCTTTGACAGTCTTCACACACGAGTGTCCTAAACGCCTATGCCAAAGTTTCAAACTGCTTGAAGCCTTGGACACATTATTCACCATGCAACATGATTTCTTCTCTTCATACGGTAGCAGCTGGTATAAACCTTCATGTGTGAGCTTCCCTCTAAATAGAATGGTCCGAGTCTATGCATCCTTCACCAAGCATTCAAAAGGATGAAACTCAATAAATACATTGTTATCACGAGTGAATTGAGATACTGACAACAATTTCTTCTTAATGTGTGGGGGATCAATTTTAATCCCTTCACCATTTCCCATTACAAGAGTGTTGTTACCTTTATATGCCATACCTGAATTGAATGGTGCAAGATCATTCGATACGTGATGAGTGGCACCCGTGTCTGGATACGACAAAGCATTAGAGTGTTTTGGAACACTGTGAGTTGCTGCCATACTAGGCACAATGAAAAAAGTGGTAGGTGCAGTATGAATAAATGACTCTTGTCTTTCTGTTATTGTAGGATAAGCGATGTTTGTTACCTTTATATGCCATACCTGAATTGAATGGTGCAAGATCATTCGTGATGAGTGGCACCCGTGTCTGGATACGACAAAGCATTAGAGTGTTTTGGAACACTGTGAGTTGCTGCCATACTAGGCACAAGGAAAAAAGTGGTAGTTGCAGTATGAATAAATGACTCTTGTCTTTCTGTTATTGTAGGATAAGCTACGCAATCTCCAGGAAAGGTATTCATTTCCTGATTCGAGGAGTAAGGAAGTCCTTGACGAGTCAAAGCATAAGGCATACCATGTATAGAACTGGATGGATAGTAGTAGAAAACGGGAGATTGCAGCGTGTGATTATATGCATGTCCATTCACAGGAACTACATGTTCAACCGTTTTCTTCCATTGCTCAACAGATTGATCTTCACTGACAACTCCAGTGAAATCTCGGTCAAAAAGATGATAGTACCACTGAACAATGTGCCCAAACTTTCCACACAGCTGGTACTGATCACACTTACTTGCTCTTGTTCAGGTACAACACAACCTGTCGCATTCAACAAGTCACAGATTATCTTGATCTTGGCTAAATAATCACTCACAATCAAGCCAGCTTTCCTCTGAGAGTGCAAACTGTGTCTAAGAGAAGAAATCTTGGCACTAGAATGAACTCCAAACAATCTTAAAACTGCATTCCAGATTGTGCGAGAGGATGTGAGCCCCGTAAGATGTGGCAAAACCTCCATACTAACCGTTGGCAACAACCACGAAGCAAGCAACTTGTCTTGTTGCCTATGCACAACATACATTGGATTTTCCTCAAGCTGTCCTGACTCATTTGTAACAAACTGAGATGGAGTAGGACTATCACCAGAGATATAAGCTAACAACCCATAACCAACAATTATAAGGGTCACCTGATGCTTCCCAGGAAGGTATGTTAACTCGAAAAGTTTTATGACATCATGTAAAGGTATATGTTGTACACTGGACAGGACTGAAGAACCACATGATGATAAATTAACCGTGGTATTCACCGCAGACTGAACACCATCTTGTTGCAAGTTAACCATCTTCAAAGAAAAGTAAGAACCTTCAAGAACCTCCAAGAAAAGAAGCAAACCAGAAACTGCAGGACCGTTTTGGCGACTAATACCATGCAAAGATTAGCAACAGATGGCTAAGCTATGAAAGCAAGAACAAAGAAAACAAATGAAAGAGAAAAATCTTCTCAAAATTCATTATCTTCAAGTGTGTATCTTTACAAGTCTCAAGGAGTGTATTTATAGTTAGTACTATAGCTGTAACTAATGATGTAACTAACTTCAACAAACTAACTGCTTCAACTGATTAGCTGCAGTGTATCAATCCTCAGCTGCACGATCATCATGCACAACAGTTGCACGTGTACTTATATGCCATGCATTTATTTACACTAACAGTGTACACCATTTGCTGCTAGTACCAATACACTGTTGCTACTCCATAACAGAGGAGATGTAGAATACGACAGGATCTTCACGCCATCATTACTTTTTTTCAGATGTAAGTTGTGCACCATTTAATTCAAAAGACATTTTGTGGGCATAACTTGACTTGAATAAATATTTTATCGGCTCTCAATATAACACTCTATTGTGCACCATTCAATTATTTCACAAGTTTGTGCCTTGCAATACTATCTGACCCCACTATTCTACTTCAGGAAGAATATCATACAATTTTTTATAATTTATTCCAATCAAATATTATAATAATATCCCAACAATATACAACGTATAAACATTAAAGGGTGCATATGAAATCCTATAAAAGAATATTATAACAAGAGATAGATGTCTAATGTGTCATGCTACAAAACATATATAAATTTGAGTATCCTATTAAAGAAACATAAACTTATGAGTGTGTTTAACAAACAGAAGAATCAATAACCTTTGTAAACTATATAGTTCATTAAAAAATGCATGCAGGAATTATATTTTGAAATGCTTAATTTTCTTTCCCATTTTCCTGCCACTTTCTCTGCAACCAAAGACATAACTGAAACAGCGAATTCATATTAATATGATTTCAAAATCCAATGCACTCATTAATAACTGAATTATGATATCTCATCTTTCAACCGCTTTAACTTTCTTTTCGAAACTGAACTCCAAAAGAAAATTCAAAATCTATAACACTTCAGTATTAAAATTCATTGAAAATTTCAATAATAAGATTCAGAAAATGAAAACTAAATGTCCTGATGGAAGAAATTGGAGATGTCTAAGCCTTGAACAACGAGAGCGAGGAGTCACTTAAGAGCTTCGAATTTCTCGAATCGTATTTGTTGTCTAAAAGAGATGCAATGTTAATTAGGGGTGAGCAAAACTCGACTCAAAAAATTGATTTTTTTCGATTCGACTCGATTCAAAATAAGTTCAAATTGTAATTTTATAAACTCGACTCGACTCGACGTCTTTCTCGACATCACCGTTGTTGATTTGGATCGAGGAAACTTTTTTCAGTTACGATATTTCTTTTTCTTTCTATAACTAAGAATTAGCATTTTTCAATTTGCCATTTTCAGAAATGGTTCCTAATAATTCTTTAAGATTAAAGAATTATTTCCTTTAAACCATATTTATTTTATCAAGTTGTTTCCTAATTTCTATTTTTCTCATTTATCTCCAAAAATTTAATTTCTATATTTGTTTATCTTTAAAAAATTTAAATTATTAGGATAAATCACAATATTAATAATCAATCTATTATTGTTTTTCTATTTTAATCATCTGAATATTTTTAATAAAAACATTACTAAAATTGCATTTTTTTCTTATTTTAATCACGATCATTAAACAATTAATGATGATGTTAATATAATTTTATTTTATTTTTTTATCTATTTTCTATTTCATCTTTTCCATTATTTAATCTTATGCTTGTTGATGTGTCTTGTAACGTAACTGTAAAGAACATATGGAAAACATATATTCACCGTTGATGGTGTTATATAAGGATTTCGAGAAAGTTTTAAGTTTTCGAGATAACTAAGTTGCACTTTGTTACTTACGTTGTTCGCCACCATTCCCTAATTCTCAATTTAGAGCATCAAGCTAACATGGGTACGGGACAGGTACAGTTTATGTACGTGTTGGGGATGTTTCATATTTATAGGAAACGATTAAAATTAATTGAGTATGTTGGAAAGATTTCTGGGAACGTATTAGGGATAATATTTGATCTTCAAATGCTTACGCAAAATATTTTTTAAGATTTAAATAATAATAAAAGATAGAGATGAACTAAGATATGATTTTTTTAATTAGGATTTAATTTATCTCACACAGAGATATTCTTCAGATCCGATTTTGCCGAAATTTATTACTCCAATCTTTGACTTTCAAAGGCTTGGACAACCTACTACATCCTCTTGTTGTGAAAGAAATTGGAGTACTT